GTACTTCTTGTGGAAATTTCCAGCAGATACATCAAGACACCGATTTTTGAGGAATTTTCAAACTTTGACACAAAAACCTCATTTGCGCCGCTTTCGAAAAAAAATTCAAACTTCCTAACCGGACGAAGGAGCCACTTGAAACTTTTCTCAAGTTAACACAATGAATCAAGGTACTTCTTCTGGAAATTTCCAGCCGATACATCAAGACACCGATTTTTGAGGAATTTTTAAACATCAGCCTTAATAAACAGACAAAAGTCCTTAACGGGCTGCATTCTTGCATATTTGCACTTTGATAACCAATCGGATCCTTGTAGCTTTACAGCAGGCTGACTTTGCAGCTGATTTAAGGCCATTGTTAAACATAAGATAGCAGCACCTTTCTTGATAACATATTGATTATTGTTCGAATATCGCCTGCACCTTTTATCATCCTGATATCATTCAGGCAAGGCGTTGCTGTTTTAATAAGATAACGGGCATTAACGGATGTAAGTAGTCTTAACAATAACGAGCAATTCGAAGCGATTAAGCTCGGATAACGCCATTAATTTAAATGCAATTTTCAATTGAAAACGAAATAGGTTTTTTTAACCCGTGTGTTAACATGGGCATTCTTAGATGCAAAACATACATCTGAACGGTAGTTTTTTAAAGCATTTTCAAGATATTTTACCTGAATCGTGTCGTTCTCGGTCGGGACTCCTTGCCATCACCGAAGTCCTCTTTGAGGGCATCGGCATTGAGGGTTTATGCCTGTTTTGCAGCGCCTGAGCCAGGGCTTGTTGGACGGCCTCTTGTCGCACTTCTACAACACCAATCAATCTGTTTAACGCACCATTTAACAACAAAAAAAGAAATGCAAAAAATTACCAAAGAAAAGTGAAGAMATTCGAATGCTCMTTAACAAACACTCAAAGTGGGCAATAATTACAGTCAATTACTAGAAAAGTRCATTATTCATTTGAGTAGTTTGCAACCTAAACACAGCAAGCCAAACGATGATTACTGATAAACAAAGCAAGTACACCGTTCACGAGCAAATGGCATTAAATTGTTAAATTTTACCTTCATTCAACTCTGAAGAGGCGAAAATTGGCTTCAACAGTGGGCAATTAGGCGCAAACATGCATTAGGGGCGCCTTTTGAAAATCCTTCACTGCCTGCCTTAAAATTGCTCAAATTCACCAGCAGCAGATTGTATAATTTCAGCTTTAATTGACTGAGTAAACCAGGAATTTCGAACGATTTTATAGCGCAGTGTTGGAAAGCGAGCAGCTTTTATACTGAGTGAACTTTTGGAAAACTCACTGATGTTTAGCATCGTGCCAAAAAACAATTGGACTCATGGAAAAACATGGCATTAAATTGGGCGGAAGGAAAAAAAGACTTTACAACATGTAAACATATTTTGCTTCGGCTTATCTTTACTCGTATTCTTCTTCAGTTTCTTTGTCAGGTCCGTATAGTTTTTTGCAATTTGCTACCTACCTTGCAAATTGCAAAAAACTATACGGACCTGACAAAGAAACTGCAGAAGAATACGAGAAGATAAGCCGAAGCAAAATATGTTCACATGTTGTAAAGTACTGACATGAAGATCTAAAAGGAACAAGACAGGAATACAGAAACAAACAGAAACAGAGGAACGATATTTAAACCAATAAAGATAATTTTATCTATAGCGAAATAACGGTATACTTAAGATACGGATAAAATACAAAAGTGGAAAGTTAGTAACCAAATAAAAATATTATTTAAAGTTGACAACACTTTTTCGGCAACGCCTGGAAAGAGTAAACCTGGAGGGAAACAAGAAATAACGATAGCAGTTAATAATGCAACAATACGAGCAATAGAAACACTAGATAACCAAAACAATAAAGAATCAAAAGCAAAATAAATCATGTTAGTTATATGCAATTGGACATTGGAACCGGTGGACTAAAAAAGTGCACTGATTTCTGAAAAAAATGAAGAAAATTAATGATAAAACTTGTTGGGACTGAGAAAAAATCGAACTCGAACAAGCGCAGAACGGATTTGGACGCTGAAATAAATTAAAGATGAATTCAACAACAGACGGAACTTTTATCGCCTACAAAAAGTGCCAAGATATGAAAATATTGTAGAAGAAAATCTACAAGAAAAATATATGAAAATTACATTAATGCAGTCATGCCTAGCAATGCAGATTTATGTAACGTTTACAGCTCGCACCGGACTGAGATATACAAAGGGTCAAGCGCAAAGTTATTTATTGCATTTCTTGATGCAACAATGCATGTTGTTGCTTACCTTGTCACACTGCAGTGTGCGCATGTTTCTGCTTTATTTAGCGTTAGTCAGTTGGCAACATTGTAAATTGTACCGTGTGTCAAGGAAAGGGGACTGTCAGAGATATAGGTTAGCGGCTTTAGCTGTCACCGGCATTTTTTTGACATGACTGCGTTCATGTTTTCCATAAAATACACATCCAAAAATATCTAACGAATAAAAACCCGATCTCCAAACGAGCTGATTGCAGTGGTGCACTAACCACATTAAAGGCAGCTGAAAAACAGTGAAAACATCCACTTAAACAAACATGGAAGAGAATGACAGCGAAGAAAACGGGCATGAGAAGAATGCAAAATACTATCTACTAAACGAAAATCCGCCCTGCAGCATCAAGATAATAACAAATTGATCAATCCAGACAACAGCAAACCCGGTAATCTAACACCTGAATACAGCGTGTGCATTCAAAACACCAACTTCAGCCCTTAAAGGGGCGTATTGATGTTGAAGTACGTGTTATGTACACCTAACGACAATGTGGACTTTTCTAAGGGCCCTACATATTAGTATGGGGAACTGGCTCTTTGAAACTACGTGTATAGACACATGCTACATGAAGATCGCTTGCAATTATGCATATGTACTTTGCTCGCATAGAGGTTGAATACCGAAGAGGCATCGCATCGATTTGAATAAATTTTAATGCAACAGCGGCCGGATTTGATGTTTTTCGATCTTAATTAACGCCTCTCCCGATCCGGAGTCAGTTGAAACCCAATTAAACAAAGTCAATGAGACGACAAATCACGTCAATGACCCGTAAGTTTTTTGGCTTCAAATTCACATAAAAACTACTTAAATGCAATGATTAATAGCATGTTTAGCTGGTAGAAACGCCGGGTCAGATATGGCGATAGAGCAACCGATGAATTCTTTTGTTTGGAGTCAACGAACCGATGCCATGAATAATCATTACCAGTTTATTGTCATGTTGAAGAAATGCAAATCTGATTAATTAATTATGGCATCAAACTGCATCAAAAATTCTAACTCTTTAACCGGGTGCAGGAGCAATTTGAAACTTTTCCAAAGTTAAAACAATGAATCAAGGTACTTCTTGTGGAAATTTCCAACAGATACATCAAAACACTGAATTTTGAGGAATTTTCAAACTTGGTCAACAAAAACTCACTTGCGCCGCTTTCGAAAAAAAATTCAAACTCACTAACCTGACGAAGGAGCAACTTGAAACTTTTGGAAAGTTGAAACAATTAATCAAGGTACTTCTTGAGGAAATTTCAAGCAGACACATCAAGACACTGAATTTTGACGAATTTTCAAACTTAGTCAACAAAAACTCACTTGCGCCGCTTTCGAAAAAAAATTCAAACTGCCTAACCGGACGAAGGAACCACTTGAAACTTTTCTAAAATTAAAACAATGAATCAAGGTACTTCTTGTGGAAATTTCCAGCAGATACATCAAAACACTGAATTTTGAGGAATTTTCAAACTTGGACACAAAAATCTCACTTGCGCCGCTTTCGAAAAAAAATTCAAACTCACCAACCAAACAAAGGAGTAACTTGAAACTTTTCTAAAGTTGAAACAATGAATCAACGTTCTTCTTGAGTAAATTTCAAGCAGATACATCAAGACACTGAATTTTGAGGAATTTTCAAACTTGGACACCAAAAACTCACTTGCGCCGCTTTCGAAAAAAAATTCAAACTCACTAAGCAGAAGAAGGAGCAACTTGAAACTTTTCGAAAGTTGAAATAATGAATCAAGGTACTTCTTGAGAAAATTTCAAGCAGATACATCAAGACACTGAATTTTGAGGAATTTTCAAACTTGGACACAAAAATCTGACTGGCGCCGCTTTCGAAAAAAAACTCAAAACCCCCTACCAGACGAAGGAGCCACTTGAAACTTTTCTCAAGTTAACACAGTGAATCAAGGTACTTCTTGTGGACATTTCCAGCAGATACATCAAGACACCGATTTTTGAGGAATTTTCAAACTTGGACACCAAAAACTCATTTGCCCCGCTTTAAAAAAACCAAACTAACCGGACGAAAGAGCAATTCGAAACTTTTCCAAAGTTAAAACAATGAATCAAGGTACTTCTTGTGGAAATTTCCAGCAGATGCATCAAGAAACCGATTTTTGAGAAATTTTCAAACTTGGACACCAAAAATTCACTTGCGCCGCTTTCGAAAAAAATTCAAACTCACTAACCAGACGAAGGAGCAACTTGAAACTTTTCTCAAGTTAAAACAATGAATCAAGGTACTTCTTGAGGAAATTTCAAGCAGATACATCAAGACACTGAATTTTGAGGAATTTTCAAACTTGGACACAAAAATCTCACTTGCGCAGCTTTCAAAAAAAAATTCAAACTCACTAACCAGACGAAGGAGCAACTTGAAACTTTTCTAAAATTAAAACAATGAATCAAGGTACTTCTTGTGGAAATTTCCAGCAGATACATCAAAGCACTGAATTTTGAGGAATTTTCAAATTTGGACACAAAAATCTCACTTGCGCCGCTTTCGAAAAAAAATTCAAACTCACTAACCAGACGAAGGAGCAACTTGAAACTTTTCTAAAGTGGAAACAATGAATCAAGGTACTTCTTGAGGAAATTTCAAGCAGATAAATCAAGACACTGAATTTTGACGAATTTTCAAACTTGGACACAAAAATTTCACTTGCGCCGCTTTCGAAAAAAAAATCCAAACTCACTAACCAGACGAAGGAGCAACTTCAAACTTTACGAACGTTGAAACAATGAATCAAGGTACTTCTTGAGGAAATTTCAAGCAGATACATCAAGACACTGAATTTTGAGGAATTTTCAAACTTGGACACAAAAATCTCACTTGCGCAGCTTTCGAAAAAAAATTCAAACTCCCTAACCGGACGAAGGAGCGCCTTAAACCTTTCTAAAATTAAAACAATGAATCAAGGTACTTCTTGTGGAAACTTGGAAAAACACTGAATTTTGAGGAATTTTCAAACTTGAACACCAAAAGTTCACTTGCGCCGCTTTTGAAAAAAAAAAAAATTACCAGTTTATTGTCATGTTGAAGAAATGCAAATCTAATTAATTAATTACGCCATCAAACTGGTTGTAATTCCATTTCATACAGGACGTCGTCGCATTCCAAGCTCTACTGGATTTAATGAGAAAAGTTCATACAAACCCTCCAGAAAAGCGAATTAATTAACACCATTTTTCCATCAGCAAGCTGAAACAAAGACGCCCATTCGCCAGTTTGGCCACAGCAGCTCGCGCCTATTCACCACAACAAAAAAATTGCATTCATGAAACACAGTTTTAATTAGTTTTCAGTTGTTCCACTACTGGCTAACCATTAAGTTGAATCGAATTTCGCGCTGAGGGTTTTATAATCGGATTTTCGCCCTCTGTTCTATGCTACTAATGATTTGATGACACCCTACCGAGCTGACTTTATTGGCCGTATGGGTAGTTTCAGTTCCAGTTATCTCGATCCATTGTTCTTCTGTTCGCCAAACCGACAGAACTTCATTGCTTTTGTCTCGATTGTTTGTTGCGCCAAACTAGAATTTTGCTCGTGTTTTCGTTGGTTTTGGTCATTTTCAATCATTCCCGTGTTAAAAAAGACCGGGCAGATTTAACACTAAAACGAAGCTGAAACTGGATCAATAACTGAGCACTTCAGCCTCACTAGGGTGTTTCCATTTTTTTTAATGTTAATATACATATAGAGTAGTTATGGCAAACATTACACTGATATAATTTTTTTTGCAAAAAAAGTCTCCATAATAATTTTAAAGCGCATTTAAATTGAAATCAGGTATTTTCCGCCAAAAACGCCGAATCCGTATCGTCGGTTGCCTATTCCGATTGTGACGTAGCAGGTCATATCAACAAAGTGTTTCAAGCAGATACATCAAGACACTGAATTCAAGTGTTTCGTGTTTATTTTGTTGTTTTCGCAGCTTTGTTTTATTATTTAAGTTATTGTGATTATCATTATTTTATTGATTATTATTATCTTGCATAATGGAAAATAGTGACATGTATGGGTCACAAAATAAGTGGTGTTTTGTGCCAGGATGCCTCAATAAGTGCTCCAAACAATCTCTTTCGAACCGTTCCCCATGATTATGCACGTAAAGCTTTATAGTTCAAAGCAGCTAGACGTGATGTTCCTAAATCAAAATAAATGTTTTTTCTTTGCGAGGATCATTTTGATGAAAGTACCAACAAAAGGCTAATAATGAGGCAGATAGAATATGTTTTCGATCGTACTTTGTGTTGTGACCCTTACTGTTGACACCCTTAAATTCGGCTGAATTAAAGCGTTCGTCGTTTTTTAAAAATTCGGTAACCATAAAAATATGTACACATGGTAAAGTGGTTTTTGACGCTTTAATTAATCGTTCTGAAGCCAGTTTTTAGTTTAACACAAACTATAATTTATTTAAATCCACGAAATAATTAATGAAACACAACCACACAACTAAACACTATGCACAGACCGTAAACAATCCGCCATTTATATGACCAGAGACGTCACAACCAATAGGACTGCGTTTTAGAGATTAATGAATAATTTGAATTTTAGGTGAATTTGTTTATTAAATATTTAACAAAATAGCAATAGATAGATAGCATCAATTAATATAATATAATATAGTATAAAAGGAATTTTTGATACAATGAAAACACCCTGTTCCAATGCTTGACCAAGCCGTATTAACTTTTTTAACCGTTTTTCTCCTAAACATTATCCTACGAAATTCTGAACGAGAAGGTAAGCAGCATTAATCAAATTACCTGTTTCCAACGTAACATTCATTTTCCAAAGAATACATTGGCATTAAAATGCCTTCGAGCGGATTTCTCCGGGGGAACTCACAGAATCGAAATAAGCTCTTCTGCCCCCGGTCTTTTCAACTGAAATTAATATCGGCAAACTTGTTTCGAAATTTATTTCGGAGGTTCGGGCGAGCGATGAATTTATTGTCGGAAATCGCGTAAAAAATTGGCCTCATTTTATCGAATAAACCAACAAAATGGTCTGAAATTGCCACCAAAAAGCAAAAAACCAATCAAGTCAATGTCCGTGGTGAATAAACAGAAGACTAAACAGGCAAATCGGTTATTTTCCAAAGAAAATGCCACTCGTTTCTTAATGTAGCGAAAAAACAGGAAAAATTAGTTGATGAAACATGATTGTGCAAAAATGTAACAAGAGCAAAAAGCTCAAAATCCAAAAACCCAATTTGAATGATGGTAAAAAGTCCCAATGGAAAACCTCAAGAAGACGGAAGTGGTGTTTTCGAAAAGAAAAATCAAACAGCGCAGGTAATTAGCAAATAAGAACAGCAACTGAAGGAAGTGAAAACGACTGGGAAGCAAAAAATCTTAACTAATGTTCAGAATTAGTACTAGAATTACATAAACAGTACAATAAGTGAAGATGGAATTGAAACAAGGCAGTAGAATTATCTACTGTGGAGGTAAAAGTGATAAGAAAATTCGCATCTGTCAAAGAAATCCAACTTCAGATGCAGAAACTGCGATGGAGACGAGTAAGAAAAGAACTAACATGAAGCGAAAAGCAGAAATGAACACAACTTAAGCATTTTTCTGCAGATAAAAGTTCGTGAAGTAAGCAAAAGAAAAAAAACCGGAAGATATAGAAAACGTGTCAACACTGAATTTTTTACAATTTTGCGAAAACGCGATCGCTTCCAAGAACCAAAAAAGGAATTGAGTCGCGTTTGCATGCATTTTGTAGGGCAAAGTCTCGTCTACAAGCGCCACAACTTTAAATTTTTAGTCATCATCCAAGAATTTTCCAAATTTGCTTGCGGTTTTTGCGGATGTTTTAACAAGTCGCAGTGTGCTGCAAAACTTCAGGACTTTGCAAAAAATGTTCCCGCTCAAAAACTCAGTTAACTAAAGTCGCAAAGGCATCAACTTCGAACATAGCATCTGACAATTAATCGTGCCTCTGACAGAGTGCTGTGAGTGCGAGCGAGAGGACCGATGCCAGCTACGTTCCGGAATGGAACTTTGGACCAAAATCCGATTAATTAGTGGAAACAAACCAATGTAATTTGGACGCTCGTTTACAAATCAGACCGCAAACAAAAGCCTTAAAAGCATGCTCGGATTGATGTTTTTTCGCCTTAGAATGGATGGAGAAAACGGGCAAAAGCGAGCAGTAACGGTATGAAAACGGATCCTAATAACATTCGCTCCTTGCGAAAGCAACGACAAACATTAAAATGCACTTTAACAGTCTTTCCGTCTGCTTGTGTTCTCACTTAGTCGATCAAATTGGAAAGACGATATTCCAATTAGAATTAAGCGAACGGGCGCAGATTTACCCTGGCACCAGTTCAGGTAATTGATTTGCACTAATATTTCTGCCTTCAGTGGAAATCAGTGCAATTTGTTTGCCTCGTTGGGTTAGTTTTTCGCATTTCTCATTTGCCTGCTCAGCTCATACAACTCTCGATCGCCCCGCCCTGGATGCTTGCAAGCATTGCAATCAAAATGGGGCCAAACTTACCCGAATGGTAGCGACTTTCGTTGCGTGTGAGCCGTCGGTTCCCTCTTCGCACGGCTCTGGAAGCGGCGCTGGAACCTTCCGAACCACCACTCGAGCGCCCCATTTGAGGCACCTGATCTCGGCCCACATCTGCACATGCAACAACACAACAACGATACTGAGCGCATGCCAATGACGAAATAATATTCATGAAATAAAACCAGTAAAAACGAAAAAAAATACAACATGATAAAT